TGACTAATTTGTAAGACTTGGGGGGGGAAAGAGACAAAATTAAGTTGGGAAAAATGTGGTAGTAAAGAAAGAAAAAAAGGTAAAAGATGCTTCAAAAAAGACACATTAACACAAATTTTTCACTCTGGAAGAATAATTCAAAACAAGTGCAGGATAGTAATCAAAATGTCCTGACTAGAAAACCAGAAGACAGCTGTGGCTTTCACATAGCAACCTTTAAGTAGGTATGCAAACATTGCTATCCCATCCCGCTTCCAAAGCATAAAGCAGTTCCAGTCCCCAGTTACAAATTTAAGGACTGTTCAGTGAGGACTCTCTGGAAGGCAGTCCAAAACTATAGTGTGCACACAGTGGCAAAGTAAATTTCCATGCTCCACCCTTACTAAAGAAACGGACAACAGCAGCAGTTTGTTTCTTTCTGCCCTAGCAAATTATTTCATGGCCCTAGTCCCACGGTCAACAGCTAGCTATTAAGTGACCCTTGTGAAATGTACTTATCTCAGATCTGTTGCAAATGGACAGGTGTGAACATCATGCAAAATGCCATCTTTCTCATCCTGGCTAGAAAGAGCGACAGAACAGAGAATAGGTAAATTAGACTACCTTATGATTAAGCACACCAATGAGAGGCAGTATAAAGAAATATAGGAAAATGAGTAGCAAAACTTGGAACAGGAAGCCCCAGAGAAGTATAAACTTTTCTTAATAAAGATATATATTTTTTTCATTTTAAGCATTGACTTCTTAATGCCTTCTACCCCACCTCAAACATTTTCTGTATTCTAAATCAAATTTTAACTATAACTATAAGCTTTTCCAGCTGGAGTTTCCGGCCAACCACCTTGCTGCTTGGTGCACCACTGCTTATTTAATCTTGGACAGATATTTTTGTGTTTTTAGTCCCAGGTTCATTTAAGGCAGCTTAGTCTCATCTTTTGGTCCTTGGACTTTAAAACTAGAAAACTCTGCACTTTTTCATCCTTAAATTGTACAACATAAGCAACACATCAGACCAGCGTGCCATGGTAGCCAACAGCAGAAAAGCAGAACTGGGAGGGACCTCAGGAAGCCATCTAATCCAATCGCCTTCCATGCTTAAGGTAGGATCATCCCTGTTTAAATCATCCTAGACAAGTGTTTACCTAACCCTGTTCTTAAAACCTTTAAGGCTGGAGATCCACAGCCTCTCAGGATGGTTTGGTCCAAATGGGAAGGGGAGGGAAGGCAGGCGGGCGTAATTAAAGGGAGAGAAAAAAAATATTTGAAAACAAGACAGTGGGAGGGCTAAAAGAAAAAAAAAATTTTTTTTAATGTTGTTTCAGGACTACCAACTGAATGAATCAGCCACCTTCCTGAAAGTCAAGATATCATCTTAAAAATGAAAGATTTTAAAAATGCTTAGACTGCGTCTTTCCTAACAAAAAAAGTGCTTAAAGTTATCATAAAAATGCAACTACCAGCATCTGCAAAAACAAAGGCTAAGAAAGTCTGTAAATGAAAACAGATTCTCATATTCACATGCCTCCAGAAGCTGGGACTTCAAACAGGGAGGCGGAGGGAAACCACCACTCACTATAAAATTATGAGTAGTGACATCCCTGACTTAACTGCAAGATTTAAAATCGGCCAAGGAAGTAGACTAAGAGCAGACTCTGCTACACCAAAATTACCTATTCAGGCCCTGCTTTTAAATAAAGAAATCTCAATTCTGATCTCTGAGAAATGCTGTGAATGCCAAGAATTGGGGGTCAACAGGGCCTTAATCCAGAGTCTGATAATCTGCCTACAGATGTATGACAGACCACAACAGTCAATTACTACTGGTCTTGAGCCTAAAAAGACCTTTGCGATAGACACCCAAAGTACAGGTGCATATCAGTTTGGCGCCGATAAAAGAAAAGAAAAAAAAATAATAAACAATTGGTGTTATCAGCAATTGGCTTTTTTTGGCCAGTGTAGTCAATAATGCCACCAATAAGTGCCGCGTGCATCTGCAGCATGTATGCGACCAGGAATGCAGCCCAGCAGCTTGGAGAGCAGCATCCAGCTGGTAAGTCTGTGGTTTGGGGGGGGGGGGGGAGAGGGCAGGCACTGCCCAGCCAGGGCAGGGCAGGGCAGGGCAGGGCACAGGACAGAGTCACAGGAGG